ACAGAGAGTTTTATATTTTTAATATAGTTTTTGTTATGCAAGTAGTTCATTTCGTTGTTTGCATATTCATAATGTAATAAACAAATTCATTTTTAAGAAAGAAGAAAATTTACAGGGCTTTCTTTGAATCTTTAAATTTAGTCTTTATGCCCTGAAAGGACTTTGGAGAACCTTAAACGTGGAATTCCAAAGGATACTGGAAAATGGCAAGTGCCAAACAAATAGCTGTTTACCTTTTTTTGTCATTTGACGAAGATAGTTCTCTAAGCTTTTTTAAAGAGAACTTATAAAACAAACATCCATGAGGTCTGATGACCCTGTTGACAATAGGCTAACTATAAAAAGGGAGAGTAAAGCAGAATTTGTTCCTGAGATTCTAAAGGAATGTTATATTCCGTACTTCTATTTTCATTACATCTAGGTAAAAGTAAGTATTTTAAAGCATGTATTTATATAAGCAGTAGTAGAAGTGATAGAAACTGTTGAGAGACCTCTTATTTTTAATTTCCAGAGTATTTTGACCAATATAGAGATTTGGGGTACAAAAAAGAAAAGTATATCTTTACAAAAACAAACAAACAAAAAAGGTGTGTGTGTATATGTGGTGGGGGGGGGGAGGGGGTCATTATTTTGACCATTGGAAAAAATGCCTCATAAATTACTTTTTCAGCCTTTCTTTGAAAAACTTCACTGTGTGATGATAGACTTTTGGAATTCAGACCTTACGGTGCATCCATCTACCACACTGGGAATGCCTGAAAGCTGCCAAGAAACTGTAGAGCAGAGTGGGCAAGTTGAAGCAGTTTCTCCTGCCCCAACACTTGTCCCAAGTGTACCATTCTGCACTCTAGGAGCACAACACAATTCAGGACAACTGCTTCTACAAAAGGGAGAAAGCCAGTGGATTTCCTCACCCACCCCCCAGCAATCAGTACCTACGTTAGTATGTGGTATGAGTTATCATTCCCCATTTAGGAAATACCACTTTCATTTCACTGCTGGCAAAATGACGTAGTGTGTGAAAAACCATTCAATTTAATCACAAGACAGGAAGCTGTGCCATCTTTTGACTAATACCAGGGAGTCATGGTGCTATTAACAGTGTGGGAAGCTGCAGTACTACAGTGCTGTTTAAAGGGCCACTGGTGCCTCTGCAGGAATAGTTTTCGGCCTCTCTTGGAGTGTCATGCAGAGGAGAGGAATGAATCTGGGACTGTTCACTCATCATGGCAGGAGGATCGCTGCAGGGTCCCATGGCAGCTTGCTGCTGACTGAATTATAAGGGAGCCTGTGCTCTTTTTCCTTCCCTTCTCCTTCCCAAGGGGAAGAGGGCAGTAAAGTAGAGCATTGTGAAATATTGGAGATCCTAGAGAAATTGAGATGAGTGTATAGCCATTATATGTGTTGCTAGATAACTTCCCTTTATAGGGAAATTGAGTTAACGTTTTTTGCAGATCAGCCAGTTTTGTTATGCAAGAAAAGGTTTAGCACCTGAATGCTAAATTTTGTGCCAAGAAAAGGCCCTGTATAAGTTGGCACAAGTGTACCACCTGTCCATGACCATAGTTAGTCCTGTGTTTTAAATGGAAAAAGTTTGGAGTGATACTGAGTGTTTAAATGTGAAAACTGTATTGGTATGTTCATGGTTGGTTTGTCACATAATGAAACTATTTTACCAGTTTTCTTTAGGAACAAATCTTCAGAAATCACACACATAAATTAGATGTAGCTATAGCTTTACCTTTAAAGATATCATTTAAGTGGATATAAATGTTTCATATATTTCTTTTCATATTGATTTGCATGTACATACATGTACATATCACAATAACACAGACATTTAAGAGAATTGAAATTCTATTACTTTCCTAGAAGAACAGTGGTAAAATTGTCATATACCATTCCAAACCATCATCACTTTATAAATAAACTTTATTAATCACTTTAATAACCCTGGATAACATTGTCTGATATATTGGTATTAGGGCTGGCAAATAATTTAAAAAATTGCTTGTGATTAGTTGCACGATTTAAAAAAAAAAAAATAGTTGCAATTAATTGCAATTTTAATTGCAGAGCTAAAAATTCAAAATTCTGCACAGAAAAACTCAAAATTATGCAAAATTACGCAGGTGCTTTGTATGGTTGGGGGTGGTGTGTGTGTGGGGGGGATTTGTGAAGGTGTGGGTGCCCTGGCAGGGTGCAGGGTACTGTGGGTCAGGACGGAGGGGCATCAATAGGGCTGGGGTGGTTGTGGCTGGGGAGGGGGGGGTGGGTTGTGGGTGAGGAGTGAGGGGTAGAGGCAGGGCATGGGCATATCCCTGATTCTCCTCCTCCCCCCTACCAGTCATACCCCTGCCCCTTCGCCACAGGTGTCCTCTTCATTGAAACTGGAAATATGGTAACCCTACAGGAATGCAGCTCAGCTGCAGGGTGCTGCTCTACACACCACTAAGTCTGTCCTCTAGGGAGAGGAAGGAGCGGTGGGTTGGTGGGGGCACAGATCAAGGCTCCTATAGTGAAGGAGGATGTGGGGCAGGGGCTGGGGTGAATTAGACCCGAGGGCTGGGGCAGGTCATAGGATAGAGAGACAGGCAGCTTGTTTGGGGCCCACGGGCCAGGGCAGGTTGTGGGCTGGAGCCATGGGCAGCTTGTCTGGGGAGGGGTAGGTGGAGTGCAGCTCCCCACTGCTGTGTACATCCCTGGGGGAGGCATGGGGGGCATGTGCCCCCGTATTTCTGCATGGTGCAGAGGCGGGCTGGGCTTCTGTGCCCTGCTGCCCTTGCCCTGCAAGCTGCGCGCTGGCCACGCTTCTATCACCCGCCAAGCGGTGGGAGTCGCAACATGTCATTGCATGACTCCCAGGGCAAAGGCAGTAGGGTGCAGAGCCCCAGCTCACAGTGGATGGCATGCCTCTACTGCATGCTCAGATCTGGGGGGGACATGCCCCCTATGCCTCCCCCTGGGGTGCACGCAGTGGCAGGGAGCCACCCCCCCCTCCCCGATAAGCCACCTGCGGCTCTGTGTCATGACCTACCCCTGCCCCACTCCCTCATTCACTGTGGGGGCCTCTATCCGCACACTCTGTCCCTTTCCTCTCCCCCACAGACTTACCTGTTGGGCACTGTTCTACTTGCTGCCGGGCTACATTCCTGGCTGCGTCCATGTTGTGGCTGCTTGTGTGTGTGCGTTTTTGCACGCCACCCCATCTTACTACTGCAGCGGTCTGGAGCTCGTGCCTAACTGCCCTGCAGCTCCTCTGCACTGCTAGTGCTGCTCCGCTGGGTGACCCGGAGGCAGCGGTGACTGTGACGGAGCAGAACCCAGGTGCAGGCTCCAAAACCACGTGCACATTTAACGTGTTAAAAGAATTAACGCAAGAACCAATTAACACGTTAATCACACACATTAACAGTGGTTCATTGACAGCCCTAGATAGTATACGTCTTTCTACATGTGCATGTATTCAAAATACATGGAGATACATACATACTTTGTGTATATAATTTGGAATGAGAGGTTATTTTCAGAAGTGAGGTTATAATGAAAGTCCTAACATAGCCTTAACAAGTGTGACAACTGTTTTTTAAGTACCATGCAGTCAGAATTGGCTTTGTGACTATATAGAAAGAGGCCTAAAGATCAGATCTGAAAAGTTTGTAGGATTAGACTTCACTGCACAGAACGGGTGAATGTTGACTTGAACCTCTTAGTAGCTCATGCTTGTAGGTTCCGGGAAAATTACAGTTAAGAAATATAAGACACAGTAACATTTTGCATACTTTCAGAGCTAGCTGCAATAAGCTTGGCATTTACCAAAGTTAATAATCAGAGTAGCCATAAAAGGAACATGACATTTTGGGCCAGTTTTCTTGCTTGCTTCTTCCTGAATTTTTCTTTAGGGGTGTTTTTTTTGTTTTCTTTGCTAATTTCTGGTAAGCTTATATGACTTTAAAAGTTTTCATATGATAACGATAGTTACAAATGAGTTACAAATGTCTGCTGTCCATTTCTGATAGTAACATGGTACTCTGGAGCCATTTTGTCTATCAGCAGTGACAAGAAAGACAAGTTAAAGGGCAGCAAACTGTACCAGCACTCTTTCTTTAGAGCTTTCAGGATCCAGCGTCCTTTGTTTCTCCAGCTGCTTTAAAAAGGAATTTGCTGCCTATTTCTCTATCAATTTAGTTTCCGGTCATATTATGTGGTGTCCTTCTCAGATTTCTGTGGGACTATAGCTTTGTTACTAGCCTGTCTTTTACAGCCCTTTAATTGACATATTAATGTGTAGCAAAGGTACTTATTTTTCAGAAACTTAGTAACATTCCTATTTTGCCATTGAGTATTTTTGTCTGTACCTAATGTGCTCTGCCTTTACTTGAACAGCAAATTCTATGTAAATCAATACTAATTAATAAGATGTATTAAAATACTAATATAGTTTCTGAAAAAAGTACCTTAAAATGGGTGTGGTAATAATGTGTACATTAGTATTGTTTATGATGAACTGCATAATAATGATTTTGAAAATTAGGAGTAACCTGGTGAAGCCAAATTTATGTAACTTGTTAACGTGAACAGTTGTGTTGGAGGAGAGATCAAGGAATGGCTAACCATTTGTAATGCATGTTGACTGCATTTTATAAGGGGAAGTGGTGGTTATATCTTTTTCTTAAAGAATTGGAGTAGCAGTAGAATTCTTCTGCAACAAGTTTCCATATTAGCTTTTTTAAATTTTACGTATCCTGTTTAATAGATAAGAATATGAACTCTGATCTACCTTGTCTTTTAGCAGAATCTTCTTGCAAATAAAACTTCCATTTCTGTCTCCAATCTGCTTTGTTAGATACCTGCATTTTGAGCTCTCTCTCTAATAAATGGTACTACTGGTTCTTTACTGCTATCTTGTTCCATCTTTCCTATTCCTATCCTTGGCCTTGTCTATTATATCACTTTCTTGGGGGAAAAAGGTAGGATAAATTTATAAACTCTGTTTGTAGACGGAAGCGGAGAAAGAGGTGAGAAAGATGCCAGCAAAATCACAACCTATCCTCCAGGGGCTGTCCGTTTTGACTGTGAACTCCGAGCAGTACAAGTCAGTTGTGGATTTCATCATTCAGGTACAGAGCTGCAGCTTTTAACCAGTGTTTGCACTATGTTTAAATAACTACCATTTAATTTTCCTGTTCAGATAGAAATGGGTATTTCTCAGTGTCAGTTTCTGATAACTGATTTTTAAGTTTTTTACTACCTCTAAATTTTACATGACATCTCTTCTGAATTTTAATCTGAACATCTGGTAAGCAAAAAGATAATACAGTTTCTGTCAAAGAATAAAATGCGTCTGCCCAGATTCTTAGTAGGTTAATAAGTGTAAAAATACTTCTGGCAGTAAGCTGTCTGGTAAATGTAATAAAATGGGTAGTGAGTTTTTTGGTAGTTTGTTGTTGTTTTTCAGTCTTGCTCTGAATGCTGTGTTTCTGTTTGAAAATACAATACATTTATTTTCATAATGAAAGTATTGAACAAAACAGGAAGGCTATAGCTTTGTAGATGATAATTTTTAAAAATGACATGCTAAACATTTCAACTTTCTCTTATCAGGAAAGAGGGGTTTTATGTATGTATTTTTAAGATCACGTATTGAAAAACTTAGAATCTTTTAGAGCTTCAACTTGTGATGTGGGGAGTGTTTACAGCTGCTATTAACTTCAGTAGATTTGAGGGTGTCCAGCATCTGTCAGAAGCCATTGAACACTTTGCATTATTGGAATCTTAAATTGCAGTTCTTTAAAAGCTTATGCACAATATGCTTAATTTTAAACGTGATTCTTCTGCTTAAAGCAAATTATATAAATCCTTGGGGAATACAAATCATAATTTATACCTTATTCAGCTTTACTCAGTTACCTTCTAAGATATTTTAGTAATGCACAGTACAAATCAAAATGCCAGAGTATAAGGTGTTTCTAAAGTTACCAGAAAACCTTCTGAAAACAAAATGTTTTTATTTTTAGTCGTTTTGATGGAGAATGGTGATGTTTATACGTTTGGATATGGACAGCATGGACAGTTGGGTCATGGAGATGTTAATTCCAGGTATGCTGAAAATATATTAGAAGAAGAGCTTGCATGTGTTGTTTATTAGAAGAAGCACTGAGTAATAAGCACAGTGAAGCAGAGAACTAGTAATTATGAAGCTATACATGTTCCTGTACATAAATATAAAAAACCCCATAGCTTATTCACATGCTAATACCTTTTGTCTCACCACTTTTCAGGAGATCTTTAAGAATGACACCAAGGTTTCATTAAGACTTCATTAAAACTGAGCTATATTTTTCAAGTATGAAACAGTAGTTTGTTCTGTGATGCACTATCCTTTTTTAATTTGGTTTACAGTTGCTAATTCATTTCACCAAATTCAGTCAGTCAGTATGAATTAAAAGGAAAATACAGTAAAATATCATATAATATGTGTATAAAAGAAGTATAATACATTTTATTGAGTATGTTGTTGTGACTGCTGTATGCGTGCATATATTACATATGCATAAGATTGGGAAGGAGAGAGAGACAAAGAGGTGTATTATTTTTGTAGGACCTGCAAATCCAGGGACACTAGGCTCTTCCAGAAAATCTGGAATTGACTGACTTCAAGGCAAAGTGCCAACTGTAGTGACTTACCTTCAACCTTGGTGAAGTCATTGGTACTGACTAGAAACCTTGGCATTGATGGCCCCCATCCCTGCACCAAATGGTGTACTGCTGGCATCCCAGTTAGGAAAGCCGGCAGATAAAGATGGAGCTGGGTGGACACTAAATATAGCTCCAAGTGCAAGTGTAAGAGAAATTCCCAGTGGGATAACAAAGAAATCCCGTCTCAAAGGTCTGAGCAGCTGAACCTTTAACCTGATGAGGAGGGACCTAGTACTGATCTCAGTATCAGTCTGTAGTAGAGCCCAGTGAGGACCTGAAATTAAATTTTTAAGAGTCTAGGTTATCTTTAGACACATTCCTTGTGCTAAAGAGGCGGTTGGCCCTACTGCCATATTGCCATGACACCTTAATTCTGAAAGTAGAAAGAAGTTGGTGTGTAACCATTCTGGCTAGGGTTGATTGGAGGAGATTTCTTATCTGTCTGCAGAGTGCAACCCATGAAGGGAGCACAGAGTCTTATCAAGAATTCTACCCCAGAGGAATGCAGGTGGCATGGGGTTGGCCAGCCCCAACCATGCCAGTGTTCACATGCCATGCCATATTTGACCTTGTTGGGGACCTTCTTTCGTGGATCCACGAGCTGATGCCCTCATGTTTCTGTTAAGAACAAAAAGGGTTATAAGAATTGTAGGGTTGATGAGGGTCTATGTAGAGCTTTGATTATCATTTGTATGGGATGGTTTGGATAGGGATGATCCTGCCTCAGGCAGGGGATTGGACAAAGTGACTAGGAGGTCCCTTTCAGTCCTTATCTGATTCTGTGATTACATAGGAAAAAAATGCTTCTCAAATTACTCAAGCAGCAGAAAGAATTTTTCTAGTATGTAATTAGTCAGTTCACATCAAAATCTGTACATCCTCCTAACAGAGAACAGATAGATTGATGCAGTTTATTAGTCCTTATCCAACTTTCTGGAAGGGATTCTTGAAATTTATGAGACTTTTGAAAACATCTCTATGTTGTTTCAGCTGAGAAGTAAATGTTCTTGAAATTTTCTATAAATTCCCTTCACCATTTTCCAGATATATAGAGAGTCTGAAGTGCATAAAGACTTCCTCACAGAAAGATAGCAGAGCTTGTATGTGGTAAAATGGTAGGGTGACCAGAAGTCCCACTTGCTCTGAGACTGTCTGTCTTAAACACTATCCAAGTTTGGTTTGACCAGAAGATAACTTTTGTCCTATTTTAAGCAGGACACATTTGAACCAGGATTGTTCTATGGAGCTCCTTCTTTGTCCTCTCCAACCCATCTCCTCCCGGCTCTATCAAGCTCTGCATCCTGCAGTTGTTCAGTGTGCTTAGCTCAGATCAGACCTTGGACACAACTGAGCATGCTGGAGAATGGTGGGGGACAAGAGAATCACGGTGTTGTGTTCTGACATTCCACTAATATGGTCACACTACTCGAGATGAAGCTTTAAAAGTATAGGTGCTGAAAAACTTATGCCCTTATTGTCCTTCAGTAAAGGAAGACTGGCAGGAAGAAGACTAGCAATAGAAGGACTAGAGTTCCATGAGTGTGTTCAGTTTTGCCTAGGCAGGTATGGAAGTACAGTATGTATTCAGTTTAGGAGAGGCATGATCTAGGCTGGAAGTGGTTGGCTGTGAAGCTATAAGATATTGGAAATACACTTACTGTGAACACGGGTTAGACCAGCTAACAACTAAATTTATTCCAGATGAAATAAGCTATAGGGTTTTGCTTTTGTTTTGGTGTTATAATTGCATTGTTAAGAATTTTGCTGGCATAGCTCTGCCAATTAAGGCTTGTACCTCGGAGACATCACATCCCTAATTGACATAGCTACACTATCAAAAATTTGTAGTGCAGATCTGATTATAGTCTCCAAGCCTTTCCTTTCCAAAACTTGTTGTTCAGTTTGAATAGGGATAGCTAACCATTCTGTCTGACACCAGCTGATGGTCCCCATCTTCAAAAAAAAAAAAAAAAAAAA